TCCCAGTAGAAAAATATCAATTCAACAGCGTCCTTTTAAAGCATTCTCACTTCAATTAATCAATTAATTCCTAATTGAGTTTAAATTAAATATTGTCATGTTTTTAGTGCATGAATCTGAATTGAACAACCTGATAATGCTCACTCTGGTTATTGTTATCTGGTTGCTCACTACGTGCTCTTGTGCGCCGAATCCAATCAATTAAAAATGAAAACTGTTGACAGCGCGAGAAAAGAAATATCATCGGTTTTATTGATACATACATACATACGTACGTATTAGCGTTTTATATAATATAGATAGATAGATATTTTAATAATTAGACCAAATTATTAGACACACTATAGTGTTTTACAAGTTTTGCAAGAGTTTATATGCAATACTTTCATGTCTTTAATCAGGAGATTTATATTTACTTCTTATTCGTATTTATTTTTAACGTATTGCATTACAATGTTAACCAATTGATGCATGAACGTAAACAAGTGCAAAGAGTAGCGTATAAACAATAAAGCTGTATAGTATCACTTGATAATTAAGATTTTACATAGAATCTTACAATGCGTCTAATAATTTGGCCAGGGACTGTGCATACGTATAAATTCTGATATTCTTTTTAAATGTTCTATGTATTATGTACACGATTAGGTATTAAGCATGAAAAATTCAAGGGGATTTAGTTAAGGATGGAAATATTAATAAACTAGAATTCGCATAGGTTAAATTTTTTAAATGGGTAATAAAATCGTTAATAAAAAAGTTGTTTACAGTACGAGTATTTTTTTACCCCAAAATATACCCTTGTTGTTTCAATTTGGTTCATTTTGAAGAAACAAACTAATTTTTTTACTACAAATCAAACTTTGTTTTTGTCTAAACAGTATATACTATTGAGTTTTAGCAATTTTCTCGCAATCAAGATTCTAGTACTCATTCTACATTTAATTATGATCACCTTGTACTACACTAAAAGTCCGAATTTATTTTTCATAATTCCTTTGTGTTAAAGCTTTTTTCAACTGAAAAAAAAATATGGCTCCGTCTAAAAACAGATTAAAAATTGTTTAGTTATGCAAACATTTTCTACCTCACTAGTTTATAGTGTACCCTAACTACCACTACAAATATTAAACACCGATTCACTAGTGTATAAGACAGGGATGGGGAAACTACGGCCCGCGGGCAGAATTTTAACTAGCCGATCAGTGGCGAATATATCTACTTTGTTTAAAACTATTTTTGTTGATTTCTTTTTTAACAAAGTACTGATGACCTTTTCACTTTCTCTATTTTTGTTCTACAAAACATAAATTAATTAAAATAGTTAGCACAAACAGCTTTAACTGGTAAAATGTTGACAGCAAAAGTTCTTTATAGAATAGCTGTAGATTAGCTCCAACTAGTATTTGTCTTTCTCGAGGAGCAGACATATGGAATCTAATATAAGTGAATTGTACTTCACATGAGGCTGACTACGCGTTTTAAGTTCCAACGAACGGATTTTTCTGCCGGCTCGAGTTCTAACATAATTTACTGCGTATGGAAAAGTTGCACACATACAATGTCATTGTAAATAATGGTGAAATTATTAAATGTATAAAATGGCTACTGCCTTTTTGAGTTATTTGTAAACATTTTTTATCCCAAAATGGCAACTAAAAAACGCAAAGTTGATGTGGAGTGACGTGCACTCAATGATGAATTGACTTTATTTTATTTCAGAAGTTTTTACTCGGCCCACCAAACTTTTTTTTCTAGATTTTTGGCCCACGACCCAAAAAGTTTGCCCATCCCTGGTATAAGACATGTTAACTTGATTCTATCTTCTCCCTGAGACCAAGATTCAGACGTGGAGTTGTTCCACTTTCTCCAAGACTTCATCTAACCTGACTTTTACAGATTTTGTACTTTTCCACAATTTATTTCTTTACAGGTATTCAGGCACTTCCAATGCGTGACAACTCTAGTTTGAAGGAATCGATAACTGGCGCACTCCAGCACTTGATTCTATGTAGAGGTACCTTTTGATAGACGTATCGTATCTACCAGACATCGCTACGACTCGAACCCTGTTCGAAAGCGAATGCTCTATCCCCAGAGCCCTCACTGCTCGCTCGTGACGTATTGTCGTTTGACGAGTTGTTCCTGAAATTAATTGTGCTCTCGATGAACTGTCGTCCCGATGAATTATACTCGAGACGAGTTGTGCTCGCGATTAAATGCCGTCGCGACGAAATGTGCCCATGATGAACAGTTTCCGTGACGAATTATACTCATGACGAACTGTCACTCCGGCGAATATTGGCGACTAATTGTTTCATGATGAATTGACGCACCAATAGGTACTGTTTAAATAAGTACTAAACTAAATTAAAATCAGTGGTGGGACAGTGACAGTGGCCAAGTGACTGATTGTAGTCATCTCAGTTTTCTTGACCTCGGGTTCCTCTGGGGTACAGGAGCAGATGTTCCGATTGTTTGGTCAACCGAATGTGGAACTCCCAGTGTTTAGTCTCCTAGCGAGCTTGGTACTCATATTATCGATCCACTGAAGGGATGAAAAACTGAGTCAACCATGCCCGGATCGAACCCAGGACCTGTGGCACAAGAGCGCAAAGCGTTACCACACAGTCACTGGACTTAAGTAAATACTAAATATATTAATTTCGATATTCAGTGTAGGGGATGAGATAAGGAATTTTCGACAGTCTTCAGAAAGAAAGAGATTTTTAGATTGCTGTAAGTTTTGACTATCATAAGTCAGCCTCCAGCAAACTAGTATCACGATACTGAATTTAATTAATTTTCATCTTGATTAGTTGAACTTCTAAAAATGCGTTTTGTTAAATTTATAATTAAGTAAAGTCACCAGGAAGTCAAACAAATGATGATAAATAAAAAAAAAAATTTTTTAGCATTATAAATTGTGGCAGTCTTTCAGTCCTTACGTTGTGTGCATAATTTCAAAGTTTTCGACATTTTTGTACGTAGAGAAGATATTCAGCTATTATGTGTATATATTAAGCCAGTATAACAAAGTGCTAATTCACGACTAATTTTGCGTGTACATTGACCTATATATAGTAGCTAGTATTTGAATTCTTTAAAGTAAATTAACATTGCTAACAATATGACAGCATGTTATCTTAAGTCAAAAAATCAATAAACCATCAAATTCTTTTGATGGTTCATGTGGTTTCAGTGCGATTCATGATGGTCCAAAATCATTTGATGATTACCATCATCCAGCATTTTCCATTTTGCGTTCATGATGTTTGATATGCCAACAAACTTTCATCATTCCATGAAAGAAAATGCTACTTTAATATATTATGATGGTTAACCATCAAGAGAAGTTTGATTTTAATGGACCAACAATTCCTGATGATCTGTGATGGTTCATGATGGTTCCAACTATACATTTCTATGATGGTTTAATGAGAATTCTTGTTGGTTCTCAGGAATAAATCATCACCCTTAGGAAAATTTGCCATAGAGAAGCCTATGGTAATCTATGGCAACCTATGGCTACCATAGAAATTTGTATGGCAAGATGCCATAGGCCAATGGTAACCATAAAGATTTGTATGACAGTATACCATAGGCCAGTGGTAACCATAAGGATTTGTATGGCACGTCACCATTGGTCTATGGCATAGATTCTCAACCTTTTTAACGTTGCCGCCCCCTTAAGGAGCAAAAAACATCTCAACGCCCCCTTTGTTGAAAATCCAGTTATTTAGAGCATGGGGACGGAGGGGGTGTACTGAATTATAAAAGGCATCATTTTTAAGCAATTTTTTTTAAAAATAATGTGCACGTTAATTCGATATTTTTGTCCCGGCAGATAATCGCAGTCTAATAGTCATAATCAAAATAAATACGATAATGAAAAAGAAATACAACAAAGAAAACTATGCTTATAAAGAGTCATTTGTTCTGAATGACATAATTAAAAAAAACACCTAAAAATAACTTCTTTACACTAAAAATAGTATCAACAAAACAACCAAGTAACTTTGTCAGTAGGATGATTGTACTTGATGGTTCAGAGCCAGTTTCTTGAAGTTCAGTTCAATATTTTTAGTGAGGTGGAGACGCAAGTCTCTTCGTTGCACGATATCGAGACGATTTCTCCTTTTGTGACTAGATCCGTAACAGCACTGAATCCATGTTCGACAAGGTAGGAGAAAGGGAAGGCAATAAAAAAATTTTCATGTTAGTCCACAGTCCAGGATAGAAGCGACTGACGTTACATTGAAGACAAAATTCTGTGAGACGATCACCATTTCAAAGCTTCATTAGTTTAAAGTTCGACCAATTCCTCCTGAATGTGAACCGCTGCTGCTTCAATATTCATAAAAGGGTTCATAACCATTTGAGGGACTTCCAGCGACAAAACATCTTTAAAGCGGTCCGAAAAGTTCATGTACAAAAAGTCAAGATGTTTACAATATTCTTGTGTATCAGAGAGAATTTCGTCATTCTTTTTAAGATACGATAAGATTGGAAATTCCTTCCTGAACTCATTCCTACCAAAGTTCTGCTTTCATAAATTTTCTTAGAAAGGTAGAAATAACTGATTTTGTAGGGATCAAATTGAGTCTGAAGCTATAAATTAACGTCATTAAATTTTGCAAATAAAACCGTCAACGTAAATCTTAAATTCTATTAATCTGTCTCTCATAGCTACATTTCTGTCTTCGTGAAACTCAAGCACAGAGTCAAAAAGATTCGAAAACCGATAGAGACAGGCGCCTTTGGATAGCCAGTGAATCTCGGTGTGTAGTAGCAAACGATATTCTTCATCATTTTTTACACAGCTGTCTGAATCAATCGTTGAGAGCATTACTGCGAATTTTCTTCACAGCAGATATGACATAATGCAATGACTGATGCAAACAGTCACCGAGATTTTCCTACTTTATGATGTCTGTGCATCACGCAGTGAACAGCTAAAATATCTGGTACCTCCCTCTTCAAAACGGCGATAAACTTACCTTGTGCTCCATCAGTGGCAACAAACATAATATTCGCAAGAAGACTGTTTTTTTCTTTAAAATAATTTTTGACAGTATTAAAAATAGATACACTTTTGGTATCTACAATCAAGTAAAAAGCTTCTTCTCAATAATTTTTTTCTTTCATAAACCGGATGCACGCCAACAGTAAAGCCTACATTACTTGGGAAGGTTGATTCATCAACTTAAAGGGAAAATTAGTTGGATATCAAAAGTTTGCATAAGAAAACTTCGTCTTCGGCCATCTCATCAATTTGTCACCGCACTATATCGCTGCTTAATGGGATATTTTTGATTAATTGGATGAGGCTGGATGGTGCAAAACTGTTTTTAAAACTTCCTTTACAGCCGGCAGCACCAACTCTTTGCCGATGGTATGAGCTTTTTCAGATTTAGTTATTAATTTTGATATATTATAAGATGCTATCAAACCATCGTCGCATTTTCGTGATGAGGTTGCTAGTAAGCCTGAGACCGTAGGTGCCCTCAGAAACTTGTCTTTGATGTTCGTGAAAAAGGACAAATCTTTATTTTGTTTGTCAAGTTTTTTTTTTTTTTTGCAAATGCTCCTGCAAACGGATAGGTTACATACCCTCATTAGATAAAACTTGTTGCAAAATGCACATGGGTAATTGAGAGTTCGACAGCGATTTTACAAATCCAAACTTTAAGTACGTGGTACTGTATTGACGACACTTCTTTATGCTAACCGCCAGTGTTGGTGGCAGCAATATACAAACGATGAAAAAAAAATCAACTATTTCTTAAATGATTTACTATAAATAACCAATTCGCCCACGCACCTGGCCAAATAAACAATAAAATCTTACCAAAATTGAGGGAAAAACTGTGAGGAAGCAAACAAGAACCATCATCAGAAAAAAGGGTCAAATTGAACATTTATACTGAAAGCTCATGGACTTCAATTTCCACCAAATGGCTTGAATGATTCAGAGGCAAAAACTACAGACTCATGATCTGCGCTGCCCTGGTTCGGATCGGAGATCATTTTATTACTGGCACAAATGGTGTAGCAGATAATCTTAATTTATTATATTAATTTAATAATTTTATTTGGGAGTTTTAAAATTAAATTTGAATGGCAAAACATTCTCATCGCCTCCCTACTGCCTAAAACATTCCAAACGCCCCCCTACCGCCCAAAACAAGTTCACCACCCCTCAGCATATTCCCGTCGCCCCCGTTGAGAAACAATGGTCTATGGCAACCATAGAAATTCGTATGGTAGTATACCATAGAGAAAAGCTGATCTAGATCCCCACCAACGAAACAACAACTTCTATGGAGTACTCAAAAACATCTTCTAAAAGAAATAAATATCCATTTTTTCACCCCGAAGTTAATTAAATTCAACATGTAATCCCACAAAGCATTCCTGGTGAGTCTTTTCCGGCCTCCGGGTGGCCAATTTTTCCATTTTTGAGTGTTTGAAATCCGATGTTCCATTCTTTTAGGCTTAGAGTATCAGACCGCCATATTAACGTGTCATCCACTACAAGTGGAATCTTTCGCTAACTTTGGCGACTTATTTTACTATTTTTTCGATCTCATTCTTGGTCAAAAACATTTATTGCAAACGCCTATGCGATTATCTATCTGAATTTATTAAGTTTTTAATTTCCGGCGGTCTGGTACTTTTATTATCTGTATCTTTTAAAAATATGTCGCGATTGGGTATAGGTTTTCGCTATGTTAAATTTTGCCATTTGTTAATGCTGACTTTGTACACTTTAATTAATATCTTGCTGTTTATATTTTTATCTAAAATTTTTATATTTCTTTCTCCCAACTGTTTCTGATTAAACGACATCTTTCCTTTTATTTTATCCCCTCCCTCTGATTTTATATAAATTTTTAAAGTCACATCACTTTTTCATTATTAATGGCGTTCTATTCCCCATAGCAATTTGTAAACAATCTTCATGATGAAAAACGCAGTTAAGTGCTTATGATCAAGCCAGATAATCATTTCTTTAATAATTAAAATTTTTTAATTCTTTTAACTTGTTCGGTGATAATTTCATTTTATTGCTGTCATATATCAATATCAAAGTCAGTGTTTACATTCTCATTAGTTTTTGATTTTAATTCCACTTAGGTTCTTGCAATGCTTTTTTACATTATCTTACATA